CCATCACCAGACAGGTGGCTGGTGGGAAAGATCAATTACAGAGCCTGCTGGGGAGGTGGCTTCGGTGGCAGCTGGGGTACAGTCACACGTTTGGAAGCTTGTGTGAGCAGGTCTCCCAGCCCGGGCTGCCAGGAGGGGGCTGGATGGGCTTGCGCCAGCAGGGCAGAGTGCTGTCAAGTTGTCTCAGGCGGAGTTTGGATGTGGAAGCCTGGCGAAGTCTCTACGCAGCTGTTTAGATCACTAGCCCACAGCCCGCTGCTGATCCTGGCTGGGCAGCTCACTCACACACTCTCACAGCTGTGTAGAATCCCTAGGATAAGGCGAAAGCCTCCACGTTCCCCTGCCTGCCAGAGGCTGCAGCTTGTGTGACTTGGATTGCCCCCTGGCTTGGGACTGCTTTGAGCAAGCAGACAGGAAATCCAGCCAGCAGCCCAGCCGCCAGTCTGCGCCAGAATGCTTCACAATGTCTGTGTTCTAAACAGAAGCAAGGCCTGTCCTTCCAGCCAGAGCCTTCCCCTCCCAGGGCATGACCAACACCCTTGGACCTGCTCCAATCCCAGAGAGGAAGGAAACGGCGACAGTTCAATGCAACTTTGTATGCAAAAAACAAGCTTTTTTCCCTGCTGCCCTCGGCGTTATTCATCACCCCCAGCTCCGAGAGACTGGCTTGGGATATTAAACCTTGGGAGTGTTCCAGCCAGCACAGGGTACGCCACCAGAGACCTCATCATCCAGTCAGGAAGGCCAGAGCAGGCACTGGAGCGGAAGTGCCATTGGCTGGAAGAGCAGCGGGAGACTTAGACGCACAGACATGGCAGGCGAGCAGAGGTCTGGCACTCATGGCTCAGGATGTGGATCTGGGATTGTTTTATCAAGTCCTAGCATCCTGAGGGATCTGCCCCAGGCATGCAGGAGAGGGGAAGCGGTAGCAGCGGCTTCATCGTTGTCACAACCAGGATGAGGGAGCTCAGATCGGAGCAAGAGTCAGGCCAAGTCTAGTATCAGGCAACTGTCCGATAGTTGGTTGCTCACATGGCAGGGGCTGGTTTCTGACAACAGAACGCCCAAGGGCACAGACCCGACTGAGGTGCGAGTTGTCGCGAGAACGCAGCCACTAGGCCAGACTGGACACCTCTGCTTCCATTCTAAATGGGCAAGTTGGGTCAGAGTGTGACAGGACCGGGGCCTGGGGAAGGGAGACAGTTAAAGACAAGCTGGGAGTTCAGTGCCTTCATCCACAACTTGCATGGAGCAATGTCTGTGTCCAGGTAGCATCTCCAGCAGCCCCTAGTGTGTCTGACCAGGGCAGGCTGACATTTTGACTCGCCCTTTGGTCATTTGCTCCCCTTGTAACACTCCACAGCTGAATCACACCTCACACCCCATGCCAGCAGCCTCCGCCAGCCTTTCCGTTCACTGGTGCTCAGGGAACCCGGGCCTGCCTCTGCTCTCAACTCCGGGTCAGGGACTTCTCGCTAGCAGCCAAGCACTGGTCCCTCCTGGACCTCACAGCCTCTCCTCCTACCATCTGGCACCCCTCCCCCCCAGGTTTGCCACTCCCATTCCTCCTCTCCCCAGGAAGAGCTGCAGGCTGCCTGTCTCCACAGCCCCCAACACTCCACACCTCACCCAGGAGCGACTGTGGCCTTTCCTGGCAGCCCCTCTGGCCTCTCCCTCCTGCCTGTGTAGCCCCAGCCCAGCTCCTTCCATCCGCCCCCAGCCTGAGCCACCTCATTGCCGTCAGCTGTGGCCTGCTGGGCTAACTAGCCCCTACCTCAGCCTTCCTGGGCCAGCATGGGGCGAGCGCCTGCCCACAGGGTGTGACAGGAGGGTTCCCTGGTAGCCAAATGGCTCTTGTCAAACTGTATCACTCTCGCTGCTGAAGCAATCGTGTTGCTTGTTCTCTTCCCAGGGTAGGCAAGTGCCCCACACGTCTGCCGTGGCTGGTGCCCAAGTCTTTACGTCTAGCATGGCAGCCGGCACATGCCACTTGCTGCCGAGCCCATGGCCAGTTTTCAGTTCCTCACACAACTCTCGGGGAGGCGGCTGTCATCCACAAGTGTGACGTGGCCTCCGTGCCAGCACAGCTTCCAGCTGTAGGACTCCAGCCTTGGTGATTGTCAGGCCACTTGCTTCCCGGTGCACTGCACTGGGGGCGTGGCTGCAGGCCATTTTGCACAGAGCGACAATCAAAGGGCAAGTCTCTAATGAGTACAGAAGACCCTGTCAACTTGGCCTTCCATGGACACGTTCAGCCTCTGTCTTGCCAAAGTGTTTTTGTCGCTAAGGCAGCTGATCCGAGCACGCGGAAAGTTCGTTGTCACTGCTGGCACTGTGGGTGGCCGTGCCGTAGCAGTAGGACTTGACATTGTTTAAGTGGCAGCTGTTCCATTTTATTTTGGAGGCGAGGGATGCGACGGGCTTGGGCCAGGAAATGTCTGGCACAGGATTTCTGTTTTCTTTACATTAACATGGAGGCCAAAAGGGATGCCCCAAGGGCCCAGGAATTCAGCAAATGCTGCAGGTGCTTCTCGGGAAGGAGGACAGACCGGAGTTGACTCTGAAAGCTGCACTTTGCTGGGAATGTATCAGAGGGGTAGCCGTGTTCATCTGAATCTGCAAAAGCGACGAGGAGTCCTGTGGCACCTTATAGACTAACTGAAGTGTAGGAGCATAAGCTTTCGTGGGCAAAGACCCACTTCGTCAGATGCATGTAGTGGAAATTTCCAGAGGCAGGAAATTTGCTGGGGTTTGCTTTCAGCCTTGAGTCAGGAGGCTTAGAAGTTTGTCATCAAATTGTATTGTAGAGCGACTCCTCTCGTGGCAGTGCACGAGGGGACTTCCAACCCTTGGCCCATCAACAAAGTCACTATCGCAGGGGCAGGCACACAGCTGGGCTGCAGGAAAGATGGATAGGTCTCAGCAAAACATGGGCCTGCAGGCGGTGCAGGAACAGGGTACAAGGTTGATTAGTTGGCCTGGGCAAGAAGGGACCGGAGGACAGAGCGCCCGATGGAGTCGACTGCCTTATTCAGTCAACAAAGGCTACTTGCAGGGCAATTGTTGCTCAGCCACTGTCCCCGGCGGCCAGCGCACGTCTGCAGTGCTGCACAATGGATGGAAACCATGGCGGGCAGCAGCAGCAGAAACCTGACGCCTTTTCAGCAGCCGCTTACCCAGGCCTTCCCAGGGAGGCGGAGGTGAGGTCACGGCTACAGCTGCAGTTGTGGCTGCCCTGTTGCACCTGTGGAGGGATAGATTTGGGCAGCTTTGAAATCCTGGGGCAACCTTCTCAGTGGAAAGTGACACGGTCTGGCAAAGCTCTGCCAGGACCCCGTGTCTCAGCCACACCCGCTGCCTTTCCATTTGCCATTTCCAGACGCGTAGCTGGAAGTCTGGCCCCAGCTACGGACAGCTTCCTAATTTGGCATTTATGTGGCTGCCGAATCCCAGGCATGGCGCTGAAGGGTTCCAGTCCCGACACCCAGCCCTGCAGGCTGCTAAACCACAACGCGCCTGTCATGATCCTGAGGGTTAGCCAGCATCCTGGGGACTAAGGGGTTAACTATGTCCCTTACCTAAACCAGGTGACAGGCAGCCAATAGAAATGTAGGTAGGAAATTCCACTGGCACAAAGGAATTTTGGAGGTTTTTCCTTCCTTTGTTTGGGTAGTTTCTCTCCAGCTATTGCAGGGGACACGATGTCTCCCTCTAAGAAAGCACTCTTCACAGTCTGTAAGTAGGGTAAAGTTTAGATAAATCCGTTCGGTTTTATTGTTGGGGAAATGGGATCTGGTCTGTGCATTTCAAAATGGGTTTTGCTCTCCTTTGTAACTACGGGTACGTCTAAACTACAGGGTTTTGTCGACAGAAGTTTTGTCGACAGATACTGTCGACAAAGCTTCTGTCGACAAAGAGCGTCTAGACGACAGCCAGTTCTGTCCACAAAGCAAGCCGCATTGTCGACATAACAGTGTGGACGCAAAGAACAGTGCAGATGCAATAATGCCTTCTATCGACAGAACTCTGTCAACAAAAGGCGTTATTCCTCGTAGAATGAGGTTTACATACGTGGACAAAACTGCTGAGTTTTGTCGACGTTATGTCGACATAACTCAAAGGCAGTGTGGACACAGGTATAGTTTTGTAGACAAAAGTCCACTTTTGTCGACAAAACCCTGTAGTCTAGACACACCCTAAGTGTCCCAGGGTAAATCTCCCCTCCATGAGGATATTATTTTGTTACTGTTCCATCTGGTCAGCGTGCTTGCTACAGGAATATTGTGGTGATAATACAAGTTCTTTCTCTTTTCTTTTGATTAACCTGGTAGTGGTTAATTTTTGTGTCCTGGTTTGTACTTCAGGGGTGGGATTTCCCAAGTGGTCTCTTCCTGGTTGATTTATTAATATTTTGCTGGTGGCAGCAGGAAAGAGGAATTTTATCCCCAAAATCTAGGTTGTTAAGATCTTGGGGGGAAAGTTTATACCAAAGCCTGGAAGATAAGGTTTTGGGGCACTTCTGCTGGCCCTCACTCATTTATCGTGCCAGAGTGGGGAAGGAGCCATGACAGCGCTTTATTGCAGCAAAGCTGAGGCTGTTCGGAAGTTTCTGAAGCTTTTGTCCTTTCACAACTTCCCAGGCACAACTCCTGGCCAGTGCCCCAGGGCGGAACGGATCTTCACAACCCTACTCGGCCCACGGGCCAGCTGGGGAGTGCACAGCTGACCTGAAGGGCCAGACGCCACCAGTTGACGTTACAGCCATTCAGTGCTGCTGAAAGACCCGTTCTCTAACTTGTGGCGTGTCAGATTTGCTCCACTCTCAGCCGGGAGCGCCGCAGCTTGTGTTCCTACACTGCAGCATCCGTTGGCGGCGTTTCTTATAGAACGAGAGTGGCGGGTTGTGATGAAGAGACCCACTCTTTGTAACAGGATACAACAATGGGTCTCAGCTTACACCGGCCTTTGCTAAAACACAATCCAGACAAACGCAGTACGGCCAGTGGCAAAGAGGGTTTATTTCCATGTCTCTAAACAGCAGCACCGACCCTTATACCGATCTCTACAGGAGGGGTCTGCCTGCTGTAGTCCTAGTACCTCCCCCTGCACCTGTCCGGACAATCACCGAGTCTTTCACAATGGGAAGCACCAGAAGGCAGGTACAGCACCGGAGAGCGGGCCCAACATCCAAGAGAGAGGTACCTCTGCACACAGAGGAGGAGCGGTCCAGATATCGCGGCGTGCAACATGGCACAAGGACGCCCGCAGCACACGCGGCTTCCTGTGGGCTGCTGCCAAGAGCACCACGCAGGGCATGGCCACGGGATTCCCTGACCTGCTGGACAGTTTCCAAGGCGCGCGGCGGCAGGGGTCCGTGCCGGTGAGCAGCTGGACTCTGCATGGTGCTCGCGCAGGCTCCGCCGCGCGTCAGAGCGCGTCTCCCTGCTCCTCTTTCAGTCGCTTGCAGAGGTGCTCGCTGATGGCTGCCAAGGGATTGGCTTTGTACAGGGGGTTTGCAATGACCTGGTGAAACCTGGCCACTTCCTCCTGGCTGGGAGAGGCAAGAAAATCCGGAATGAGGCTGCGCAGGCGGTACGCCGATCCCGGGGCCGGCCGCCCAGCCCCGCTCCCCCACTGGCCAACCCCACTCGCCCGCCGGCCAGCCCCGCTCCCCCACCGGCACAGGGTCGGTACCAATCTGTCGGTCACACCAGGGCAGGGTGTGTGCCAAACCCACCTGCCCCAGGGACATGTCTGCGTAACGTGAGGGCCCATCCATCCCAGGACACGCGCTGGGGCGCACCCTGGTGGGTGAGGAACACCCACATCGCACTCAGAACGCAACAGCAGCTTTGCCATAAATGCACCACGCTGCACTGGGAGACCTGCAAACCACGCCCCAAGTAAGCCCCCGTCCCAGTCGGGAGCAGACACATGGTGGCCATGGGGAGCACATGCGTGGGCACCCCCCCCAGCCAGCTGTTTTGCACATTCGTTAGTAGCTGGGAACTTACAGCAGCTTGCGCTTCTGGGCTGGCTTCATTTGGTTGAAGTCCGTGGGTTCTGCCTTCACTCTCCCGTGGCTAGAGAGAGGAAAAGACGAGAACAGTCGGATGGAAGGAAACTTTCTGCCAAAAGCAGCTGTCGGCGACAGGGCTCTGGGTGAGATGGGCCGTTGCTCTGATCCCGTCTGGCCGCTCTCGTGCTAGATGGGACCAAGGGATCAGCAATTCTCAAGCTGTTTCCTCTAGGGAGGCAGAGGCCAACCTCACTGCCCCAGGCCACAGAGCCGCTCTGCTGGCTAAGCCCTGCCGGGGGGCGGCGATAAACATTCCGGGTCCCAGCTCGGCAGGCAGAGAGAAAACACTTCCCCCTACCGCCCGGGGAGCTATGCTCGCTGTCTCCGACGGGTAACTAAGCAAGGGGCCAGTGCACAGCAAGGCCTCCCTGAAGCCCCGGAGGGACCTGTCCCCTTCCCTCCCACCCACTCACACGTCTCCCAACACCCTTGGGAGAGCTCCTGGCTGAACGCGAGCGGCAGGCGGGTCAGTGACAAACACGCTGGGTTAGGCAGGGGAGGGCTGGCTAGCCCGGCTGCCTCGGGAAGCTGTCCAGGGAGATGCCCCATGGCCGGGCCTGGGCCACTGGCAGCAGCAGGGATGAAGAGACGTTTTTCGAGTGTGATTGTACACCCGTGGACCCAGGCAGGGAGGGTCCAGAGCAAGGGCTGGGCCTGCTGTGAACACACTTGGCGCTCGGTCCCTAAAGTGTTCGCTCTGCAGCTGGCATCTCTCCTGGACACGCCTTGTGTCCTAGACACCGCGCACCTCGGAGGAGACCCGCCCCTCACGGTGCTCCTGGGCCTTCTCCAGGAGACTGTGTGATTGTACACCCGTGGACCCAGGCAGGGAGGGTCCAGAGCAAGGGCTGGGCCTGCTGTGAACACACTTGGCGCTCGGTCCCTAAAGTGTTCGCTCTGCAGCTGGCATCTCTCCTGGACACGCCTTGTGTCCTAGACACCGCGCACCTCGGAGGAGACCCGCCCCTCACGGTGCTCCTGGGCCTTCTCCAGGAGACTCCAGCAGTCCCCAAGGGGCAATTCCTGCAGGCACTGCAGCAGATGTTTGCAGGCAGGCTCCGCTTCTGGCCCACGCGCTAGACTGGAAGGGCCTCGAGCAGTCCCCATGTCCAGCCCCTGCGCTGAGGCAGAACCCAGGAAACTCAGACCCGGCCTGTTCCCCAAACCCTCCCGCGACGGGGATCCCTTCAGTCTCTCCCTGGGAAGCCTGCTCCCGCACTTGCTCCCAGTCCCGGAGGCAGAGTGAGCCCCTCCGTGCTCATCCACTGAAAGCAGGAGAAGGGTGAAATGAGTCGGCCCCGCACTCCTCCTCGCAGCCTGGCTGGATGGGAGCTCATCAAGCCTCCGCTCCCGAGACCCAACAGCCCAGGCTTTTCGCCTCTTCTCCTCGGGCAGGGTTTCCACCCCGCGGGCTCTCTCCCCCGGACTCCCCAGATCCCCGCCGCGGCT